CCAAACCATACTTGTGTATGTTAATATTGTTTAATGTGTATAGTAAATGGTCAAAAATATATCTATAAAATAAAACAATCTATTTTTTTTATTTCATAAAATAAATTACAAATTACAATAAATGATAAGTAATATTATGTAATACATCCATGTATTCAAAGCATATTAATTAGTTTTTTTTATAAAATATATAAAAATCTAGTAACTATTTTATTTAAATCACATTTTTTTGTAGTATTAAATTAAGGAAATTAAGTATATATATAAAATTTTTAAGAAAAACTAAATATTAATGATACATTTATACACGTAGTATAATTAATAATTGGTATACTCTTATATATTTAAAAGAAAATAACATAAATCCATTTCAATAATTGAATAATAAACATAAATAAATTTAACAAATTAAAATGTTTGAGATCAATAAAAAATTAATTAAACATCATTAAATATAAATTTAATTTTTTAATAGCTTAGCTATTAAAACAGTCATATTTATATGTTTAACTATTTTAAATTACATTATTATTGAATGAAACATTTTAATTTTTTATGTTTTTTTACCTAAAATATACATTTTATCAGATTGAATAGTTCTATCTAATTTATTATAAAATGCTATCACATCAGGATTTGCCCAAACATGTTTCTTATCAAAATCCAAAATTCTTAACGATAATAAACTTTTAGCTCTAGATAATGCAACATAAGCTTGTCCTGCTTCAAATACTCGCCCTAAAGATATTTCCACACAATCTAATGTTAAACCCTAAAAAAAAAAAACAATTATAATTATTTATATTTTTTTATGATTAATTATATAATATAATAACCTGTGACTTATGAATAGAAAATGCCCAAGCTAGTTTCAAAGGTACTTGTTGTCTAGAAATAAATTGTCCGGTAGGAGTTTTGACAATCCACTTTTCAGGTTTAATAGTTACTATATTACCACATTTAAATTGGACACAAGGTGAACCTAAAATATTATTAATTATCATAATTATTAAGTAAATAACATTTTAATTGTGAGGTAACATTATATTTTATTTTAAATAATGTTTAAATGTTTTTTTGAATTTTATATTATATTGTTATAATTAGGGACCAAATCTATATGCAAATGCATATATGTATTGAAATAAGAGTTTTGAAATCTGATGAGAATTATCCCCGATGTAGATCATTCTTATTAAAATAATATTAATTGTATTTTACATATTTTAAAGGTTTAACCTATTAAAAGCATATTAGTAGTTTTATATTACATATTATTATTATTTATAGAACATATTATATTTGTTTCATCATATTTTCAAGTTCATAGCCACATAATATCGATAAAATTATGACTGGTCGTTACTGCCAAAGATAAGATGACATACTCATATGTAACATAACATAATATTGTATTAATATAGATCAATGTTACTTTTGATTTTTTATTAATATGGGATAATAATTTAAGATAAAAAAGATAAAGAATATTAAATAGCAAAGATGACAAAATACTTTTTATATACTTATTTTTTTACATAATTTTAAATAAAATATTTTTGATTCTATTTTTAGTGCATATATTGTAGCATATTACAGGATTTTTTGTACATGTTAATCCAGTCCCTAGTTATAACAAAAATATTAAATAATAATATGTATATAATAAAGTCTGGGTCTATTATACATATAACAATTAATACTAAATATTTGAATTTATTACTCAAGTACTTGTGTTATTCTATTTAAAGAGTAACATATAAAAAAAAAACCTAATACTAAGCTTATATTAAAATACTCTAGATCATAATATTAAATAAAATCTATCTGTATTACATTTATGCAAATTAATATTTTAAATAAAATACTATACATATGTAGCAATAATTAATAAACATTTAACTAACCATTTTTATCAAAATCTTTGACCACTCCTCTAGCACCATTTACTAGCCCTGATGATACACTTAAATTTTTTAATAACATTACTTGAGCGCCAGACTTGAGAACAAATGATTTTGCTACAGGAGTATGATCATCTAATGTTTTGGTTGGACCGCTATCAAAAGCTTCAAATTTATATACTTTGCCTGGTAAATCAAATATTTTTTGTTGATTAATTAATTGAGCATCAGCTGTTCGACAACAAAGGCGTGTAGGTACAATTCCATCTTGTTCTAATAAATTAGATGCAGTGGATTTTAATTTTACTGCTGTAACTGGATCTATGCTAAAAATTGCAAATATTAAATTTATCAATCTATCAATTTATTTTACATTCAAGACTTAATTTTACTTACTTTCCTAGGCGTAGTTCATTTAATATTTTAATAAATTCATTATCTGACTGTCTATGAACAAACTTCAAGTTGAAACAACGGAAACGACATTCAGCCCAAGTTTTAGTTTGGAAACAGAATCTAGATTTTCCTTGTTTTACAGGAGGTAATTGTAAAAAATCGCCACATAATACTAATTTTATACCGCCAAATGGCTCATCTCGTTTACGTACAGCTTTTGCTATTTTGTCAAGTTTCTAAAAAGTATTAAAAATTGTTTAATAAAAGTAACTGAAATAACTTAAAATTTAATAAAAAAAATAATATAAAAATTACTTCAAAGTATTCCCCATCTACCATTGATATTTCATCAATAATAAGTATTTTACATTTACGCCAAACTTGTGCAGTTGATGATTTAGAGGCCATTTCAATACCTCGTTCAATAGTGCATTCACCATTACCAATACCAGCAAAGGAGTGCAACGTAACTCCTCCGATAAGACAAGCTGATGCACCAGTACTAGCAGTTACCATTGTTACATCAGGTGGCAAAGTATTCACAATATAACGTAATAAAAAAGATTTACCTGTTCCTGCACTACCTGAAAATATAAAAGCATATTTAATTTCTTGTTTTTTTTATTTTCAAATAGAATAAATATTGTAAAAATAATTTATATGAATATACTAAAACATTCAATAAACTTTGAACACAAGTAAAATCGATGACTTATTTCCAAGCTAAGAGTATATGTTAAATGTTTTATAACTTGAATATATTTATTTTTCATTACAATACACAATTGTTTTTAGTTTTTGACAATCTAATCAACATTTTTTTATTAAAATAATCAAAAAACTAGCCAAGTTGAGAAAAAATTTAAATTTTTAAATGATTATTATTGAAAAGGAGAAATCTGTGACATTAGAACTAATTTTCTTATATTGACATATTATTTGTTTCCTGTACATAAATTAATACTTTTATTGTTATGTATACAATTACAATACACTACTTACCAGTAAAAAATATGTTATTATTAGTATTAACAGCATCAACTACCTCTTTCTGTTCATCAGTTAGCTTATCTTTTAAACTAACTAAATAACTTTTTTTGACATTATGGTTAATCAATTCATTGTTCAGTTTTTTTTTTTTCATACTTGGTTCATTTAATTTATGATCAACACGTCCAATATCCTTTACATTAATGGGGCTGATTTCTTCAGTAGAGCTACTTTTAACAGCTAAAAGTCTTTCCCTAATTTTTACCTATAATCACATATAGCAACAAATAAAATATAGGTACTTACTATCATAACATTACACTAAAAACACTGTAATATATAATATTATATACCTGAGGCGATTCTTTACGTCCTGTCACCTTGACAAAAAGAGTCTTCAGAAATTCGGCTAGTTGTGCAACAGGAGCATTTGAAATCATCATCATAACTTTGTCAGTTTTAAAATGGATTGTTGCTTTGCCATCACTAGCAAACCGTTTGTGTACTGCTATGTCTTTCAATGCTAAACGGTGAACTACGCCTTTATCGGCTGATACGTCAATGAAAATGTCTCGAAAATTGTTTCTAGTCAATGCCAATTTGGCTGTTAATGACTTGAATCGTTTCAATACAACGCCTTGAGCGTTTGACCATTCCACAGAACACGAACATTGTAAACTCATTACTCAACTGAATGCTTTTTCGCATATAAAGGTAATAAGACTATAAAATATAAAATTAAAAGTCTTAATAAATTACTAAATTAATAATTATAGCTTGAAATTTGAAAAATAACGAGTATTAACTATAGAATAATGAAAAAAAAGAAACGTTAAACCGTTATTATAGATAGCGCCGCAGTACCACAAGGCACAAAGTAATGACACAGAAATGATAAGTGATAAATGATAACTAATAATTTAGAAATAAAAAATTGAAATCGTGGATTCACCGACCAATAGTTGTCGATTAAAATAAATATAAAGTATAAATATTAGTATAGACTATAGATCCAAATGATCCAATATCCCATCAAAAATCTTCCTCAGCAAGTTTATGGTTTTACATTTTTTTCTAAACTTGATTTTCAGATTTAAATACAAAGAAATACACACATTGTAATATCAGTACATTCATCGCCTCCACCATTGACAATCAATTACCCACTCACGACCTAATATCTATTAATTATTATAGAATAAGTGATAACCATAACCATAAACTTCGAATTTTTAAAGCTTTAATTATGGGCTAGTTGTTGGATCACTTTTTATTTAAAAAAAAACTCAATAAACAGTTGCTTATTAAAAGTAAAACATAAATTTGTTTGTATTCAATAGGTATTTTCATAGTAAATTTTTTAAGTCAAATATTTGAATAAAGTAAAATACTAAAATGTAAATAACTGAACTCACTAATTAGTGAGTTAATTTTGAAAACCAAAGTGCCATAATTGTATAATTCATTATCATTGTGAATTAGGCAGTTTTTGCTCTGAAAGCTGAAATTAATAATTAAAACATCAATTACAAAACGAATTATATGCTGCTGTCTAGTAAATTATTTTTTATGATTCTATACAAATTACAATTCTACATGCCTCTTATTCAACTAGATAACTACTATCAAAAACACCCGGTGTTATCATTATATGATAATAGGCCGCTTGTAATTGAATTGATAAATGATAATAAAATAAGCATGTTTTTAGTTTTAAGTCTTTCGTTTTTACTGAAGAGCAAATATCTTCGTTTATTAACTACTAACTAGATACTACCAACTAATATTTTTCGAAACGTTTTGTTACCTCATACCTTTTTTTCTCTTCTATTAATAAATATTAACCATGCATTTATTTTAGTCGTAACTAATCATAAAACGTGTTAGTTGTTAAAGTCACTAACAATGTTTACTTTGAAGAAATCGCTGGCCACATTAGTTGGCCGCCGATTGCGTTGGACTAGATCGTTTCTGTCTGAGGCGTACGGGTGTGATGACGTGTGGCAACAACGACTGGATTGTTCATTGCTGAGGAAAGTCGAACCTGAAGTGCTGTACCACAAGTTGTCGACTACAATGGAACACGGGTCGAAGCAAATCAGTGCTGTGGATCTAGATGTGTTCGCCAACTCGTTGACGGATAATTCATACTTAGATGAGTTAGAGGAACTCACACATAAGTTTCGTTTATCGGCTCAGACCGACACAATGCTCCCATCAACACATCATGCTGTTGTACGATTGCTTTTAGCATCAAATTGTGTCAAAGATCTTGTCAGGATATTAAAGGATCGGCTCAATTACGGAATTTTCCCTGATTACTATCTGTGTAACTTACTAATGGACCGTTTCATTAAAGGCAACGATATTCGGAATGCTATAGTTATTGTCTCCAACCAAATGTTACAAGAAGAACTAGACAATGATATTACCAAAGCCATGGGATTATATACCTGTTTGAAATATATCACCAATCCAACTGAATGGGAAGAAGCAAAAATAGAAACAGAAGAAACAATTAATAATGATGATGACGATGAAGAAGATAGAAGAGTACGTGTAGACTTTTTAAGAAATCCTTATTTTGATAATCATTTTGATTTGACAGACAGTGATCACTTGGTTGGAAAAACCATGTTGGCAATTAGCAGTAAAATTGATAATACTATACTGGGAAATAGTTTTAAGACTCTTGGATTAGCTTATTATAACCAATGGAATGATTTTAGAAGTCATATTGAAAAACTTAACAGTTCTATTTATCCAGAAACAGTAGAGTTGGCAGTTACTGCAATAGATAAACGAGCACCCGAAAATGCTGAGGAGCTAAAAGATGCACTTGCGAAATTACAAATTGAAAACAAAAGTTTGACTGATGAAACAAACAATTTTGTAAAAGAGGCAGTAACCAAAAATGAAGAAACAGAAATACAGAATCAAAAAATAGTATGTATAATTAAAGCAAACTAAAAATATTATTTACAATATTTAATTTGATTTCAGATATACAAACAATGGGAATCTTTCAGGAGAGAAGAGCTATCTAGGTACCTTGATCATTTAAATAAGTTGAAACGTTTACAAAAAGTTCAACAAGCCAAACAGGATCTCAAAGAAAAAGAACAGTTGTTGTTCTTCTTTGATAATGAACACAAACATGACTTAGTTAAAGAAGAAAAATTGAAACGAATGAAAAAGACAGTAATTAAAGACAAAAGTCTTAAAGATGATTTAACATATGTACCGCCAGAAATCAGAAAACCTGGTTTTAAACGAGATTAAATTAAACTATAAATTTTATAAGTTAAGTTAAAAATTACATGGTTATAGTAATGATGAATAAATATTCACATATAAATCTACTACAATTTGTTTTGTTAATAATTTTTTTATTTTGTTAGTATCTTCTCTTGATACTTTAGAAATATAGTTATTTGTTTGATTATCTTTAACTCATTGAAATCCATTCAATAGTGGTGTAACGGGGTTGATTAATTTGGTAGATATAGATAATTTAGTTAAGGTTTTCATTAATTTGAGTTATTATTTTAACTCTTTTAAGATAGTTCAAATAATAAGTTTCCGTTGATGTATTTTATAAGTTTATAATCTCAATTATATATTAAACTGAGTATTATAAAAGACAGATACAAATTATAATTGTTAGGAGTTTGTTAGTGAATAAATTGTTGTTGGCCCAGAACTATTGAAGTTTGAGCATTTCTTCATTTCTTGTGTTCTCTAAACATAATTAATAATTATACAGTTGTTCGCGCTAATAGGTACCACTAAATATTTCAATTCGATGACTTTGTATTGAAATGGGGTTAACACTTAATGATAAATAGTACTTAACTACACATTTTCAGATAAATTTTAAATTTTTAACACTTTTGATACAACTTGCTTATTGTTAAATGGTAACACCAATTTTTTTTCACATATTTGGATAGAGTATATTTTCTAAACAATTATGTATAAAAACTTTTTTTCTGATTACAAAATTAGCATATTATGAAATTTAATGTTTATGAGTAATTTGTTTATAACGAAATTTAAACTAAATTCAACTTTTGTCACTTATTAATTTCCAATATTGTTAAATACCTGTTTACACATAGATAAGATAATAAAAATTACTGGCAACATTTGCCAGTAATAAGATATTAAATCCTGTCCGTTATACTATTATACTGTTATTCGTATAACAGTGTTTTATTCTGGTTAGTTATACCTATCCATCACATTTTTTCTGAAAAAATTATTATTGCTTTAATGCACTATGTTACTTAAAATAAATTTATTAAGATTAATTCGAAATTATTCTAATTTTTGTGCGAATGTAATCAATCGTAGTTCTTGTCAAGCAGATCGGTATCCATTATCCAGATAGGTTTCATGTACGTTATAATTATGTTCATAGATTTTTACGTGGATTAAATGAAAACTGTCAATTTTCTAGCAATCAAAATAGACAACGGCAACCTGACCAAATAATTTTGATGAAGATACCGAACTGCAGGTAATGGCCTACATACGTGCTTATCCACGTTCATCAATAAGACACATCTCTACAAATTGGTATATCAGTTAGTGCAGTAAATAAAATGTTGAAAAAAAAACAAAATGCATCTGTATAAACCTGAGTTTATTCAACATTTACGAATCGGAGATTATGAATGTAGATTACAATTTTTGTCATGGTTTAGTTTAGTGTTCAATTTGAAATCAACAATTTATTTTATAATAGTATTTTGTAGGGCGTAGGACGTTTGCGCATCGCTATTGTTACCAATAATTACCTTTTTTGTAGGCCGTTTGCGCATCGCTATTGTTAAAAAAGGCATAGATTGTTTTCCTATATAACATAACAATTTTTATTAATTATTATTACGTAGCTTATGATTTCTATAATTACAAAACTATAAATGTATAGGTACAAAAATAATCGTCAATATTCAAAAAAAAAAAAAAAAAAATTAATACTTTTGAACGTATACTACCATATTATTTAATCATCTTATAATATTAGATTCGTTATAAATTGTTTTAAATTACTCATTATTTACATTTATTAAAAAAATACTAAATTATTAATATATAAATGTAATCTAAATATGTTTAAACCTGTGTCCCATTATATTTAAAAATTGTTGTCGATTTATTTCCCCACTCGTATACTTAAAATAATGTTCGTTTACGAATTGTATATTTTTTATTTCTTTGTTTCTTAAACGGATTGAATTTCATTCATTTTAATATTTGTTTCCACTTGAATCTACAACTGTGGTTCCTAAACCTATAACTCATAAGTCATCAGTTATTAATATTTAATATTATCGTAACCTATATGTTATCGGTGTATCATCCGGTCATGCATGTCATAGTAGGTAACCTTTTTATTTTTAATTTTCGCGATGCGCAAACGACCAATCAAATTTCTTACCTGAAGTACTAATGATGCTCAAACGACAAACATCGATTTTGTAGACTGATGAATCTAAAATTACAAACAATGGTTTAATAAACAAACAAAACAATAGGTTTAGAGACGATACCTACAAATCCATACTGGTCCCGAAAAACTCACTTTCAGACAGTTTGGGGTATAAATGTGTGGTGCGGATTAATTGGTGGGAGTACTTGTAGGTGCTTATTTTTACAACAGAACACTTACAGGTAGAAGATATCTAGATTTTCTAGTTAATTAATTACCGTTACTGTTAGAAAATGTTCTATTAGCCACGCGAGAAAATATGAATTTTCAACAAGACGGTGCACCAGCACACAACGCCATCATTGTTAAACAAAATTTAAATGACATTTTTCCTAATTGATGGATTGGTACCCATGGAGTAATTTCATGGCCAGCAAGATCTCCAGATTTGACCCCAATGGATTTTTTTTATGGAGACATTTAAAAAATGTTTCTCTCTCTTTTTTTTATTATTCTTTATTATTATTACTATATAAAAAACTAAAATAATTGTAATAGCACAATATATGCTGAAATATTTTAAATTGAATAAATAAAAAAAAAATGTTGTATATGCGGACCCACTTATTAATCTTCAAGATTAAAAAAACAAAAAACGACTGGCTTGTAATAATTTGAGACTTTGAGAGAAGAACAATAAATAAACGCTGCCACATCAAAGGAATTTTTAATACGTTTGGAATCATGTTTGGAATATCAAGATGGAAACTTCGAACAATTTATTAAAAAAAAACTAAAACCGTAGAAATTAATTGCAAATTACTACATTTTGATTTCAAATTCAAAGTGTGTTCCTAGAATTTTATAGTTTTCATTACCATCAATTAGCTATCTTATTTCAGAAGAATGAATGAAAAAAATGAGAGTAAAAATTACGACAAAAAAATGTTTATTTATACCTTATTTGTGTACAAATATGCAGGTATTTAACAATATTGGAAATTAATAAGTGACAATAAGTTGAATTTAGTTTAAATTTCGTCAAAAACAAATCACTCGTAAACATTAAATTTCATAATATGCTAATTTTATAATCAGAAAAAATTTTTTATACATGAATTGTTTAAAAAAAAATACTCTATCTGAATATATAAAAAAATTGGTATTACTATTTGAAAAAGTAAGTTGTATCGCGTATGCGCGTATCGACAGAGTTAAAAATTTTAAATTTATCTGAAATTGTAGTTAAGTATTATCTATATGAAAACCCCATTTTAGTATAAAGTCATCGAACTGAAATATTTAGTGGTACCTCTTAGCGTGAACACTTTGTATTGTATACATATAACATATGTGTATGCAGGTGATTATTAAATTTCTCGTAAACATTATTATTCATTAATAATAATTATTTATTTATGTTGATAGTTTGTAATAATTTAACACATTCATAAACTGCTAATCGTAACAATAACTTTAAACTTAATTTTTACCTTATATTAGTTAATAGTTAGCAAATAAATTTAATATATAATATTGTCATTAAATGTTATGTTAACTACTAATCTTATAATTTATAATAAAAGGTTTCTTTAGAAATGAAGTGATGTTTTATGGATTTGCTTAGTTAAAAAATACATCACTTATTTTTAGATTTATTAAAAGTTTTGTTTTGTTTTTCTTTTAGTTAATTTATATTTATAATAAAAAGTGAGCAAATTTACATTAAAAATTTATACATTTTTAAGAGAAAAAATATTTAAATATTATATATATTTTTATTTTTAAGAAAATAATGGTATATTATTATAATACCTTTTTATAGAGACAAAATAACAAACAGGTGAACTGTTACGATTTGTTTAATAATTTTTAAATATCGATAGGTCTAAAAATTGTTTAAAAATATTAATCAACAAATTAATATTATATAATACGAATGAATATTTCTTTTATTTGTGTTAGTCAAAAAATCGTTTACAGATTACTGAGTACTAAAATTTAATAAAATAAATATCTACCTACAATAATTTAAAACAATATATTTGTATTAATTTAAATTAAATTTAAATGTTTCATAAATAGGGGTGAGCGTGAACTATGAGCATGATAGATGCATTTTATTACTTTATATGGCTATATAATAATATTATAATATAAATAAGGCTCGGAAGTTATTGCATTTACATGTTTTTGGGATATTAGATTTACTACTAAGTAAGCTTAAAATTAATTTCACAACACTATGAAAAAAATATTAAAAAGTTTACAGTACATATTTTTATTTTTAAGGGTATACTTTTCAATTTTACCATTTTTTGAAGCATATATAATAATAAATGATATGTTTATAAAATATAATTCAAATTTTGTCATTATATAATGTTTGATAAATTGTTATTGATTTAGTTATAGATAGTGGTTAAATTGGGAGTGGTTGAGACTCAGGGATACAGAGCTATTCTTCATTTTTCTTCTTGTAATAGCGTGCCCCTTTATTTTATTAATTAAGGAACGCAGATTCCATCAACATTTATATGAAGATCAATTTTTTTATTAAAAAAATGTAATAAATACGAATAGAAATTGGAAATGGTTAATATTTAATTTAATTTTTGGTATAATTAGTTCTTAATCAATATTATATTATAGCTTTTAGCTCATATTATAATTTATAATATTAAGAACGTAATAATAAAATATTATATAATTTAGAACGTGTTTAATTCTGTGGTATAAACCAGCGTTTCTCAACCTTTTTACTGTGGCGACTCCCTTTTAGAGTTTCAATTTTTAACGACCTCTACATATATATTTTTTATATACTCTCATAGATTATTATTAATTACTTTAATAGTACTATATAGTATATACAATACAGTGTTTTATATTTATTGATTTTATTTTTTCATTACTTTATTTTAAT